TTGTACAGTGGTAGCACAAGGGCATCCTTCAGCTCAGAAGGCACTTCCTCCTCAATCCACACGCGTTGCACCAAGTGGTGCAGCGCAGTCAACAACGCGGGTCCACCGTGTTTCAATACTTCAGGTGGGATCCCGTCACCTCCGGCACATTTGCCGTTTCGCAGCTGAGCAAGTGCTCTCTGCGTCTCACCCAGTCTCGGCGTATCCGCCAGATCCGCCTTCACATCGTGCTGCTTCAGGCCATTCAATGTAGGCCAGTCGATCTCTGAACGGTTGTTCAAGTGACAGTCAAAGTGTTTTCGCCAGATCTGCATTATGTCTGCAATCTGGGTGCAGGTAGCGCCTGAACTACCATCGATCAGTGTCCTCAGCGGCTCCAATCTCGGTCCATACACCGCCTTCAAGGAGTCAAAGAATTCCTTGTGTTGACGGCGTTTGGCGTAGCATTCCATCTGCTTCGCCTTCTCCGTCCACCATGCATTTTTAATGCGACGGAGCTCTCGGGTCAGTCGCCGTCGAAGTTTGCGAAACTGACTACTCTTCCCCAAGTCACTGGGGTCTGCCACATGTGCAGCAAATGCTGCATTCTTCTCTGACACCAGTGCGTCAATCGTCACATTGTTGTCATCAAACCAATCAGGCCGCTTGCAGTTTGCGCGCCCGATGGTATCCTCCGCAGCAGCTGTCACCTGGTCGCGAATGTGGTGCCACAGGTCGCCCACTGTGGCTGTACAGTCCACATCACCACACAGGCGTGCAGCCATCGCCTTCTCCAGCTCAGTACGTTTCGCCACAGTGCCGAGGGAGAGAATGTTAAATTTACGCCGATTCACGGCGGGAATGCAATACATAGATTTACGAAAATATATGTACAATTTGGTCCGAACCAATTTGTGATCAGTGCCACACTCAGCTCCACGCAGTACACGTGTCATGCGCACTTCACGCATATCACGCTGACGTATGATGACATAGTCGAGCAGGTGAGCGTGACCACTCCGTGAGTGCGTCCAAGTTGCTATATTACTCGCACTCAGTGCAAACCGAGTGTTCGTGATCGTCAGGCCGTGAGTGGCACACAGTGAGAGCATTCTGTCACCGTTCGCATTCGCTGAACCAATGCCATGCGCACCGATAACATCTGTCCACGCTGATGCATCACGCCCAACGCGCGCGTTGAAATCACCCCGCAGAAATAGTCGGTCGCTCCTCGGCACAGACCGTATCACGGAGGATAGCTCAGTGTAGAACTGATCACGCGTGTCATCAGGATAACACATGGTCGGACCGTACGTGCTTATAAAAGTAGCAAACTTACCTCTTCCGAGTCGTAGGCGAACAGTCATCAGCCGCGCGCTGATGCCCGTTGGTTCACCCACCAGCTGGCCATGGAGGTGGTCGGATATTGCAAATCCGACCCCATGTTCACGTGGTGCTGAGGCGGCGTTCCCCACCCAGTAGAATGTGTAGCCAGCACCTGCTTCATGTAACTTACCTTGCTCAGCGAGCCGAGTTTCACTGAGCGCCGCAATATCGATGTGGTAGCGCGCCAGCTCCATTGCGACCAGTGCAGTGCGTCGCTCCGGGCGCTCGCTGGAGTTCCGGTCCAGTAGTGTGCGCACGTTCCAGCACCCGATGTTGAGTGCTTTGCGCGCAGGCATACGATTGCATTGGTGGGCAATCGCACGCGAGGTGGTCGTTGTGTTTCGGAGGTTTGCTTGAGGGACTGCACTCGGAGCCTTTGGCTCAATAGCCTGACCCACAAGGCAGTGGGTGGTTTGGAGGTTTGCTTGAGGGACTCCACTCGGAGCCTTTGGCTCAGTAGCCTGACTCACAAGGCAGTGGGTGGTTTGGAGGTTTGCTTGAGGGACTCCGCCCGGAGCCTTTGGCTCAATAGCCTGACCCACAAGGCAGTGGAGAGCAGATCCAGCTCAGGAATGTGATTGCAGAGACAGATTGGGATCTGCTTGACGGCTGTCACACGCAGCCTTTGAGGTTCTGGAACAGTTATCATATGTTTTGCGACCGTAATTGGATACGCACCTGCGACCACGGCCAGACGCAGGTGGGTTTTTGGCGGGTTTGCACCAATTTGACCAGGGGCTGCCTGGCTTGAGGCGGGCAGTAGCAAACCATTGAACACCCGGAGGTGTCCTCCCACCGTCAGAGACAATGCGTGGAACTCATGCTATACGCCAATCGAGCATTGGGAATATAACCCGTAACCTGTTGTCTCCCATGGCTAGGTTTTACGGGAAGTGGGCCATCGACCACTTCCAAACCTCCGGAGAGGATGGACTAGGATACTGCCAGGGCGCCCAATCCTGACAGGAGAACGACTCGGGTCCTCAGCCAAAGCCTTCGATTAAATGAAGACCCGAAAGGCAGTGGGTCTAGCACATGGTCAGTTAGCTGACTCATGCGGATTGGTGTCCTGGATCTTAGCAGGGAGAAGGGCGAAACCTAACTCCCACCCAGCGGTCGCCACGTGGAGGCGTCCAGGACATGAGACTATGGCGCAACAGTAGCAGCAGTGGGTAGACCATCTGTCAGGATCTAGCCACCACCAGCCTCAGCGCACCATAGGCTCTCCCGCCTATGTATGTATATACATATATATACATACATATATATATATAGTACTTTATAGGTCGATCGCTTTCACAATGGTTGCTTATTTGAGTTTATTTTACCGAGACCTTTGCACCTGGTTGCAGTGGATCCATTTGTCACGACCGGCATCAACGAGATGATGCTAGTAATAATAAGGATAATGTGGACAATTCAACAAGGATCACGAGGAATTGAATTCATCAGATAGGCTAGCTAGGGGTCACATACCAGAGGGCAAATGCACGAGTGCTACTGACCTCGTGACTCTACCATATCCGACGGGTTTCCAATCACTTATCTAGCCGAGACTGCGGTCACCATCAACGCTAATGTCGGACATTAGCCAAATTCTGTCTGGCATTAACTTCCTTCATATTTGCCCTCCATTTCATAGGAGCACCACCTTGGCACTCGCCCAACTAGGCGCAGTATGGACAAACAACGCTCGCTGAGGCAGCCGGTGGGCCAGCGTCCGGAGCATCTGATCGAGTCCACGATGGCTATTCTAGTTAAACGTTTTCTCCAACGCGCTACCGAAGGCTCCGTTGCTAACTACTGGTTGACGAACTACAACGCTACACATTCGGTTCACCCACTAGTGACGACCGACAATCAGCAGGTATTCTTAGCAATGGTCGGCCAGCTCATATCTTCAGCGCGCAGCATGCAGATCCACTATCCGTTTGGTAACACTAGTCGCAGTGCAACGGTGCCAACTTTGATCTTATATTCCGTCGTCTCCGTATTTAACTGATGTCCTTAAAAGCTATACGAGCATTATCGATGCGCGCGACCATTTTCTAGATTTTACAACCACTGGATATGACCATATATACCTAGGTAATTAAACCGATCGATGATTTTGGATGGTCGCCCCATGATTGTGTAACCTGATGAAGCGTTGGCCCTGTCTTGTAGCGGTAACAAAGGGTGCAGCGTTGTGCCTTATCCTTTTCCTCATTGCTCACAATAGCTGTGTGTGATCCGAAACTATCTATGTCTCCCACATGCTCTTAGTTTGACAATCGGTCGAGGAGCCGTCTCTAAAAGGATTGATAGGGTGGGGTCGTTCATACGGATTTCCATCACAAAGTTAATGAATGAGAGAGAGCTTTAGAAACTATTATGCTAGCTCAGGAAAGAGTCTGCCGTTAACCGTCCATCGATTTGTAATCGTGAAGGTTACTCACCAGCTCCCTGGTTGCACAGCATTTTATGGGAGATTTCCCTTTAATCAGGTTGTCGGCTTCATAAATGATGCAACGTTTCACGGTCTAGCTTGCTGAACGCGAACGCTGGTTTATCTATCAGCTTCACTACTCCACTTCTCACAACCCCCAATCATGCTGCTTTTTGCAACCTTCAAACTACTGGTTGTGATACCCATTACTTATGAAGCGCGAACTCTTTGGATAGCGATCGATTTTCACAATACCGGGATTTTCTTTTTTGTTTCATGATGCTGTCCTTATTGTGATAAGAATTGATATCTTTTTTCGGATGTATTTTATTCCTATCTACCTTGCCTTTTCAAACTCTTCGATTCATTAGGATCCTTGATCCCTTCTCCGGAGCGTGAAACTGTACTCACAGAGGAGAACCCTGTCCTTATTCATTGTTTTAGGCTAGACATTGCAACATTTTTCTTAATCGTTCCGTCGACACCTATTTCGAACTGTGTTCCGTTGCTCACTGATGTTGCAGTCACTTTTTACGCACACACAATTACATACCTACATTCCCCCTACACAAACAAGCACTTTTATGGCAAACATATCGGATTTTTGCAACTTCTTGATCACGCATGGTTTTGTCAAAATGATCATGCCTATAAAGGTGTGCCTCGCCTTCCTGAGAATAAACGCTTTATTTATTTATTGTCCAGCTATCTAACAAGCCTTATTCTATCATATTAGGCAAATACGTCATCTCAACTCGCATTCGGGTCGCACGAAATGTGGATGGCTTTTCCTTCTCCACGTTTATGAGCAAGCAAAGTCGTTTGGATTTAGAAACAAAAGTCACTTCAGCACTTGGGTCTTTGACGGGAGAGCACGCAGGAACCTACTACCCACTGACTGGTCTAAAAGAAGAGACAAGAGTACAGCTTGTCAAAGACCACTTTTTGTTCAGGAATGACGATGCGTAAGTTCGGTGCGATTTTTGCCTCAGTACTACCACTGCGTGCATCTTTCCATGTGGCCTACGTTTTTTAATGAACGTCTTTTGATGTAATGTGCTCTCCTGCTTCTGGCCGACTTTCCTAGCATTTATCATTTTGTTTTAAGACTACATATCGATGAGCTCTCTACTTCTGATTCTAGACGTAACATCCCGTTGTTAGTTTTAGTTCTTATGGATAGTGGTATGCCTCAAACGTCCACTGGATGTTGGCTTGCACGTCAATTCGACATCATTACGATCAGCCTCTACCACGGTTTATTCCAGCCGGTTCTATTTCTGTTATTCGCTTTTTTACTTTCCAAACCCACTGTGTACCCAGTGTGCTCCTTAACGCCGGTGGATATCGAGACTGGCCGACTGGGCGCGGGATCTTCCTCAGCAAGAATAAATCTTTCTTAGTTTGGGTATGTGAGGAGGACCACCTGCGCATCATTTCTATGCAACAAGGAGGAGATCTAGCAGCAGTCTACCGGCGACTGATACAAGTGCGTTTTCGTGTGTGTTGCAACATTGTGTTTTGTTTGAACAATTTTTCCTCCTAAACTGTGATTTCAGGTTGTACCACTAGTACCATGTTCTCTCTCCACTCTTTTGCCCATCTAAACACCAGGTATGACTATTGTTGTACACTTAAGTGTGGTTCTATGGTCCATTTTGTTCTCCTTATGCTGACGTATTTGGCTGCGTAGACCACTTGGGCAGCATCTGCTTTTTTGTTCGCTTTGCAGGGTGTTTCAGCCATCGAACGCGGAATGAAATTCGCCCACAGTGCTAAGTACGGCTACTTGACCTGTTGTCCATCGAATCTGGGTACTACCGTGCGAGCCAGCGTATTGATCAAGATTCCGAAACTGAGCAGCAATAAGGCGAAACTGGACGAAGTGTGCAGCAAGTATGGATTGCAAGCCCGTGGTACGTTTCCTCAAGTGATCTACCTATTTTTATCCGTTTTGCTGAATCTGTTGTAATAAACAATGTTTATTCTCTGGTTACGCTGAACGAAATCTGTATTCCTTCGTCACTGTCCTCGGGATCTTTTGATATATAGAGACCGTCGCAATTCCACCAGTTTACATGATCCACTTCCTCCATCACCACTACGAATTTGCACCTCTACATACCATTGTTTTATGGTGCGGTTTCTAGCTGCCCGTTTCCTAGTCCGTCCTAACGCCATCTGCCCTTCGCACAGTGGATCTTTTTATACCAAAACCTACTACTGAACTTGCCTATATATCAGCGTCTTTTTAGATCTCTACTTGACCGGAACATGGGAATTTCCTCTATCTCCCTATTGATCAGGTTAGATATTCATCTACAATTTTTACACGTTGCCAGTGAAACTCGTTCTATATGGTAATCCCGGGTTACAACGACTGTTTACGCTCTATCGCTCAATATTATTTCCTTTCCGAGGACTTGTTAGACTTGCGAACACACTGGTTGACAGACTTCAAAACTAACATTAATGCAGCCCTAAGTACGGAACTGCTTTTTCATCTTTATAATGGCGGGCATCACGTTTGCAAACAGCTCCAAGTACTAGTCTACCTTTAGGTAGGGGCCAACAAACTACGGACTCATGTTCTTCGGTTACCGTCTAGCGAGAATCGGCGACACATTGTATACCTCTCTAAGGCTTGCATTTTTGCCCCTGCATAGTGGTCACACTTTGACTGTTCAGTGAATTGGTATCGCCTTGCTTGTCCTAGCTATCTGGTTCTGGCTTTCTTATCTGCTTGTGTTTTATCATACACCCTTTGAAATAAGCTGCGTTTTGCCTCATCACATACGTGAGAATTCTGCTGCTCTTTTTGTTCTTTCGCATCAGGTCTTTACGGTGAGCACACTGAGTCTGCAGATGGTGTCTACGACCTCAGCAATCGACGCCGTCTGGGATTGACAGAGATAGAAGCTGTCAAGGAAATGGCTGATGGTATTGCCCACATCATCGAATTGGAAGGATCTTTGTAGCTCTGAATCATCTTTTCCGTATTCTAATAGATGATATTACTTTACTCTAGGAAGTAGAAAAAGACCTTTCCTACAATTACCGCTACCTGTACGTGTTTCATTTTTTGAGCTGATCTTGATTCGGAGAATAGTACTTATTCAGCACATTTGCTTTTCTTCTTCCTACCAGTGTTCATATTCTACTTGAAATTCATCAGGGCACTATGCACTTATTCTTATTAATGTTCACAGTGCACCTTTGCATTGATCGTTTTATCGGGAACCTGCCCATTCATCAGAGAGAGAGAGTAGTAGTCTTATGGTTTACTCGCCAACTTAATTTCTTGTTTCACACAGAGCTGTGCGCCTGCATCGTCCATTGTGGTTTAAAAACAGTCCGTTGAATACCAATTTGTCACCTTGCACCCTGTTGCCTTAAGGATCACACACCTACCTTGTAATCCGAGGGCGCAGGTTCGAGCCTGCGTAGGCGACCAGGCGACTATCGCACTATCCTTTATCCACGTGCAACCGGTGGTGGTTGGCGGCCGCGAAGCGTTGGTACTGGCGTACTGCTGATGCCTTCTTCTTTTTGCATCCCGTTGTGAATTCACCCATAGGCCGCGCTTGAACAACATCATGCATACGATCTACGGACCGTCGTGGCTTTTCTTGATTTGCATGCCACGTTTGATTCCGATAAGCATACTAACTATGGTATTACTTGTGAGCCAGGGAAATTCGGGAAACCGCTATATCGGACATGCCTGCCCTAGTAGGAAACCGCGGGAGTCTATCTCTTGAGTTTACCGCTACATGTGGAACAGCGCCGGAGTAGCCCTATATTCTTTTCCATTTTCTCCTTAATCATAGGAATGCTCATGAGAGATTTTGTTCGCAGCCATCGAGCGGTCAACTGAGAAATTCGAGATAGGCGTAGGGGAAGATTTTCCTTGGTATCAGGCCCAGACGATATAGTCGTTTTGTAATAGACTGACGCAGAAGACTTCACACTTTCAAACTGCAATATTCTGTTGTACAACTAGACTGACACAGTACCCGTTCTAGCCACCATTAAGCGGCCACTGAAGAACATCAACAATATACTATGCGGAGAACTTAGTCGATCCGACGTTTACAGGCGAACCTTACACTTCATTCCTACGCGCCAAATAAGCTGCGTGTTCTCAACGATGGAGATGTTAGGCCCGGTTACCCGGTGCTTAAAAGCACAGCGTCGTCGCGCAGCTGTGATTGTGAATTTCGCTTTCGCCAACTGTTCTCCTGTGAAGCTGCCTGTCTCTCACACCCTCTTGCCTGTGTTTTGTGACTGTTTGGTCAATATACTGTCCGGTGCACCGAAATCTTTGTTCTGACGGCTCCCCGCCCCATTAGCCGCGATTATACGACGCAACGCGATCCCCTCAGAAAGAACTGCGAGCAGACCACCAGTGGCGAACGGCAGCAGGTCTGATCCAAGAGAATGGAGCCAGAGAATGGATTGGTCGGAAGTCCAATACATCGGATGCAAACGCCTTTGTCGACGTCTCCATCAGTAACCCCAAACAGAGTAATGCAGCCAGGATCAAGCAAACCAAGCATCTTAGAACCAAACGAGGCGGTTCAGAAAGTGATTTACGGAAGCGAAGGCACTGGGGCACACAGGCAAGAAACATTTATCAAGTTCGGACGGAAGGACGCACAGATGCGACGAGTAGACATTTTCCATGCTTGGTGCGTTGTGGGACACCAACATGGCCCACATGCGCGTATTCCTGGGAGCTTGGTTAACTGTTTTCGCATGCGAATAAAAGTGTGCTTTCTTACCGTATCGTTCTTGCTACAATTCTACTACCGTGGGAATTTGTTTACAGATGCTGCAATTCAAATACCATTTGTTGCCGCCAAACGAAGTGTCGGACTCGATTATTTATTCGAACTTTATCTGGATGTCTCACATATGCACAAACATTAGTTTTGTTAGCCAATGTGGCTGGCAGCAAAGTAAACAGATCCTCCATTTCTCAATGGGGCAAGAGACCTAATCTCCCAATGAACATATCAACACCTACTTGTGTTTGAGTGTACTAACCTGATAAGCCGCTGGAACTTAGATGAAACATTTCAAACATGAAGTTCCCAAGTAGAGAAATTAGAAAACGGGGATTGTGAGATTACCTCACTATTTGGTGCATTTCTGCTGGTACGCAAATGCTTTCTATTTGTCGAAGCAGCTCGGTTTCCTGATTCAACTGATTCCGCCCCCACAGACCGCCATCCGGCTGCGTAACCATTTGGGGATGTTTCCACTAATTTTAACACCAGACTTCTGCCAATGCGCTCAAGGTAGCTGTCTACACAGCTTCAGTTGAATTTTACGGACTGTGCGACATGCAATGCCTCATCGTAGCTGTCTCAATAGAACATTAGTCTTGTCAAGGTGAGTGATCACAATCCCGCCGCATTGTTTGATCTTTCTAATGAAACGTTCGTTTCTCAGTGACCTACATAACGTGGTTACCTTGGAAAGGTAGCTCGATGAAGATCAGTTTCTTCGGGACTGTTGGCACACGATGTCGCTTGCTTGATCGGGGTCGCCAATGTAGCGATAGTAACCGGCTCACGCTAACAGACTTGGCATATTCACCTGACTGTCGGCACGAGAAAGCACGGAAGTGACGGTACGAAGTTGTTAGGATGTACAATAGTCCCGTGTATTGGCTAACAATACGACAACGGACGACAGGCAGCTAATTAGGGAACGATGTGAGAGACCGCGCGATTGATGTACGTGTTAAATTCAATCGTGGCACCGTTTGTATGTGTCGGTATGTGTTGGGTCAGCCCAACAAATTCAACCTACATTACAACATTCTGTAAATGACCTCTAAGTTTGCAAAGGTTACTAATTTTATTCAGTACTTCACACCACATGCTCAAACAAACCGAGGGAATCTCCACAGCCCTTCCCCAGAAGAAATTATGTAAGCACTCCTTGGGTATACGTGAAGACTATCCGTCGCCAGCCAGCCTTCTGCAAAACCAGGCCGTCACACCGACACGTAGGGTCTAGTGTGGATTTCACCCGGTTCAGTTTCTGACGGAGAACCATGCGATCGGATCCTAGTGGGCTCTGGCCTCTACTGTCCCTAACGGTGTCGAAACTAAAAAGCCGTCCGTATGAGGTAGCAGTTCGACGGGAAATATTCGATTCACACGTTGAAGCATCCGGCTTCATCATGAAGGTACGACCGAATTGATAGACGTAAATGGAAAGCAAATGGAAAACGGTAGTAACAAACGTGCACGGCAATAATAAGCGCTAAACAAACTTATCATACGAGATCTTCTTTGGTCTTCAAAGCGTTTTGCTCTGTTTTGTTTCAAATCCTTTTTGCTATTTTTTCAAACATTTTAAAATATGATGTTTTTGTAGTTGAAAAATTCACCGTCTCGATAAGGCAACGACGGCATTATACCTGTCGACCTGACTAACTTGTTCTGAGTGCACTAGACCTTGTAGGAATCTCAGCGGACGTCTCTGAACTGCTAGAACTATGCGTCGTTGTCGACGGGACGGGCGTCTTTGTAGGGGCATTGTCGTCGTAGATATTGACAACTTTTAGGCAACTGTTAGCTACTGATTCACGCTTTCCCTGGCAATCGATGAGAAATACTTTGTCATTCCACCACAGAACTCTGAACAGTCCTTCTAATGGTGGTGCCAGGGATCGCTTGACACCGTAGACTTGTACGAATATGTGCGTACAAGTTTAGGGCTCTGGCTATACAAATGTTTTCTGGCCCCACATACGGGTTTTGGTTGGTACGAACCGACACAACGTGGTACGACTTGCCTTGCAAAAGTAGCGTCGTAGATAGGTAGCGGGACTGGTCGGATGCGACAGGGGGGACTGGAAGTGTGAAGCCAATCGACCTCCGGATCGGTCTGTTGTGCAGCGGTCATTGCTGCTAGGTTGAAATTGTGACAGAAATAATGCATGTATGACAAGGTTTTGCGCAGCCGAAGTGTCGTATATTTGAAGTGAATCGCGACACATAGTCTAAATGTCGTATCTCTTTAGGTGAGGTCGTTGACGAGATCTGCTAGGATTTTTCGAAGGTATTCGATCGTTTAGATTATCAAGTTCTCCTTTTCTAGCTCCAATACTACGGCATCTGTGACTCTTTCTTCAGCTGGATTGCCAACTTTTTCCTTCAACGACAGCTAGTGGTCAAAATCCGGAGCTCCTTTTCTGACCCCCATACAAGTCTTGTGTGGTGTGCCTCAGGTTTCTGTCCTAGGGCCACGATTGTTTTTGATATTCTTGATGACGTTACCCAACCAATCGCCTCGAGTTTCCAACTGTTTACTGACGATAGCAAGATATGGCGCAGGATTCAACCGGATGCCGATCAGAATTTGCTTCAATGTGACCTAGAAATGGTACTTTTGTGGTTAACCCAACATCTGCTACAGTTCAACGTGAGCAAATACAAGGTGCTGTCCATACAAATCCTACCTACCCATATAAGCTAGGGACGCAAGTACTACAGCGATCTTCCGTCGAATGCGACCTGGGCGTACTGGTTCAAGATGACTTCGCTTTTTCCCGACAATCCGAAAGGTATAATAAACTGGGAACCAACACGTCCGTTTGTTGTGACGGGCGTTCGGACAAACAAACACCTTTGTTTTCAGACAGATGCCTAATGCTTATCTTCACCTCCGTGTCAAATACGCTACTCAATCCTGGTAGCCATAGCTGAAGCACGACCTCACTGCACTGGACTAACCTCCCACTCGGTCTTCCTCCTATGTCAGTGGGATACGCGATCCCCCTTGCGATCAAAGGCTGAAACAAAACGTCACAGTCTGTGTG